AATTAAGAATATTATTATATTACATTATTAAGAATATTATTATATTACGTTATTAAGAATATTATTATATTATGTTATTAAGAATATTATTATATTATTAAGAATATTATTATATTACATTATTAGAATATTACATTATATTATAGAAGAATTATTATTAAAAATATTACATTATTCCAAATATCATTAAGAATATTATTATATTACATTATTCCAAAAATCAGGATTAACATTTATATACTGTTTGGCAAATTCTAGTCTTTCCTTTTTATTTATTTGGTTTCCTTCTTGCTACCCTGTATCCAGCCCTATGCAATACTCTTTGTATTGTTTTTGGATGTATATTATTTTGCATTCTTTTCTCGATTTCTGTCGCAATTTCAGATGTAGTTGTCTCTTGTTTTTTCATAATAATTCTAACAATATTTCGTTCGTCCCTCGAACTTAATATTCTAGGCTTGCCACAACTTGGCAAATTTTGCAACTCCATCTTCTTTATATTTATTTATTATACTTTGTATCGAGCGACTTGAAATATTTGCATAAGATTCTCCTCCTCGATGTAAATCAATTATAATTTTTCGCCCTTCTAATGACGTTTCTTGACACTTTCGTCCCATATTGCAAATTATTTAATTACAACGTGTTGTCATAACGACTGACTTCGAATTATCAAATTACAATGTCTACTCTGACTAAAATGTTTGGATTTCAACGTATGTCTTATATTTTGTGAACAAAAGTAATACTGTACGAATACTTTTGTCCTGACGAATTGTTACGATCCTGTATATTTTTTGTATCATTACAAGTTACACAGTAATATAGTTAAATTTTTTTCTGTATATATTTGTTAATGTTAGTGTGATGCATAATCACATTTACATAAATATATCTAATAAATTAGAAAATATTGCTGTTTTTATTTCTTCATCTTCTTCTTCTATTTTTCTTTAACGTCGCATCGACGACGGTGCCATTAGATATGTTTATGTTTTTGAGATGTTTTAATACTTTTTGTATGTCATTTTGAGAAGTCAGGTTTATATATTTGCGTTGATTCCGTATTTCCGTCTTTGGGTTTCTGTGGTGTTGCATTCTTCCATGTTTTGAATTTAATAGGATTTCAGTAGAATGATATTTGTCCGAAATTACAGTGGCCACTCCTTCGCTGGCGTAGTTTTCGTTTACCCGGTTTTTGACGAAGGTGTTGAAGTGTTCTAGTGTAGGTTGGTGATTTTTTTTTGAAATTTGTTTCTTGAAGGCAGATAATATCAGGGCTGGAATTATTTATGAGAATTTGGAGTTGTTCGTAATGGGTATAGTAACCGTTTATGTTCCACGGTATTATTGTTTTCGTAATGTATTTGGATTATGCTGCGATTATGGCTCTTATGAAATTTCGATGTCGGATTCAGATGAGCAGCCAAGTGACGATTCAGGTGACTCAGTCGGCTTGGTGAGCACTTTTTGCAAACTCGATGTATTCTATTTTTTATGCTTCTTTCTTTTAGACAGGGGTAGATCTCTTCAAGAGTTTTAACAATGTTATCGCTGTAGTTTTTTTGCGATTTCCAATGGGTGTGCTGATCTAAAAGTGTCTCGGAAGAGGCTCTTCATCTGGGAGTAGTTTAATTGGGAGTGTGAAGGATTTTTTTTATTTATTATTTCTTTTGCTGGGGCTAACATTTCCTCTAGTTTGGCGGAATCGAAAAAAAAATGTTTTTATTTTATTACCAAGTGCACGAACACTTTTGTCTCTCACTGTATATATAACACATACATTCAGCGGTGGACTGAAATGTAATTCACAAAAATCGACATAAATAGAAATATATAACACAATGATCGAAAGGGATGTTTCGTACACCTGTTTATCGGCAATTTTTCGGTCAACGGCCAGAATTACGTCACACACGGCGGTGTAAAGATTGCCTTCGCCGGTATGGCAATCAACATTTTTTCAACGTGTCGACGCGAATGCGTACCGGATGCGATGAACGTACGCAGTTATCTCAGACCGAATCCCTTGGCGCACAATGGGCCTATTCATAAAAAGCATCCGGTACCTGTGCAGCTTTCTGTTCGCTTACCGTTAACGTGTGCATTGTTTACTTGATTTCGTCCACGTTCTTGCTCCTCCGATTAGACCGTTTATGTCACTGTTTGCCGACAGTAAACAATCCACCCCAGTTATGCAATTCCTCGTTTCTGTCTTTCCTCCACTTGAAGAATTCTTTGTCCCAAAATTGCAATATTTTTTTTTTTAAAGGGTCTTTAGCGACGTGCTGAGATTGTCTCTTTGTATACTGGTCTAGTAATTGGTTCTCCTTCAGATAGTTGATAACGTTTTGTTTCTGGCAGGTTAGAGCGATATTTTGGTTTAATCCGTATTCACTTCTTATGTTTTAGTATTTTCTGCATTCATAGCATAGCAACTGCTGGGTGGTGATTTGTTGGTTGCAGGTGTTGCAGAAAGGTGGTTCTGTTTTGCTTAGGAGGTATTCGTGTGTGATGTTGGAGTGTCCGATTCGGAGTCTAGTCATAGCTATCCTTTCTTTTCTGCTTATATTGTTGTTTGGTATATTTTTTCGATAGAAATGGTGTGCTATGTCGTGTATTTTGGTTCTATTTGTCGTAGTCTAAATTCTGTTCCATTCTTCTCTTTCCGCTTTGGTCGTTGAAGCTAATAGGTCTTGGTGTGTAGATTGGGATGTTGGTTTCTTGGTTGTTTGGTCAGTTGTTGCTTCTTTGGCTGAGGAGTCAGCTTTTTCATTTCTTTCAATTCCTTGATGTGACCGGATCCAGGAAAATTGCAATATTTTTTCAGCTTTCAAGGGGGTGTTTCTAGTGTGAAGTGCGTGTTTTTTTTTTAACTTTTGTTCGGGGAATTTTTTGCAAAGAAGCTATTACACATTTTACAGTCAAATTGACAAGGTTTGTTTGTACGTATTTCAACGACGTTTCAAAATTTTTTTGGGACAAAAAAAAGTTGAAATTAGTGGCATACCCTCGAACATAGTCGCTCTTGAAAAAGCTTGTCCCATAATTCCGGCCATTCTGCTTGTCGGAAATAAAAAAACCGTGAATGTTCCTTAATTAGTACGAGTTTGGTTATAGCAGGTACCAAAACAAAAAAAAGAAGTCGGTAATTAAAAAAGTGGCAATACCTTGAAGTTCGATTATCGATTTTCGTTTTTATTAAACTTTGGAAGCCTAAAAAAAAATATAAAAGAATAAAATTTTTTGGTCGATTCTGGTAGGGACTATAGTCACACGTGTACTAAATGCGTACTTGAAATTTTGAGTCAATCGGTCAAGTAGATTTTGAGATATCACGGACACCATTCTGAGAAACATAGTTTCCAGAAAAATGCCCTTAAAGTTTAATATTGCGGTAACAATGACGCTGGTCGTCAACCATAACTTCAATAATTTTAGGAGTTCGCATGTAAGGTTACAGAGATTTATTTTTGAAACTTATGCTCCTTTAAGAACATGCAAGAAAAAAAAAATCGATTCTTTCAAAACACGATTTTTTCACACTAGAACACTCCCTTATATTTAAGGAGTCAGGACAGTTTGAAATTTTCAAAAAATCGATTTTTTTTTGTTTTAAATAGCAGCTTGAAGTGTTAGAAATAAGATACAAAAGATCCTAGCTTCTAAAACGACTTATTCTGGAATTTATAATAATAAATCCGCGGATACGAAATAATTGAATTTATATCACTGTTTACAATTACTTTAAGCAGTGTCGTGCGATTCAAATATTACTTTTCGCGAGTCGAACATTAGGGGACTTGGATTCAATTTAGTTGCGAGATTTACGGATCTGCACAACGAGAAAAGTGGCATCTCTTGGAGTAACCTTTTCTCAAAGACAATTCTCGATAAATGTCACGTGTTGTAATTAAACTATTCGCCCCGTCAAACACGATCGACAACGAACGATCTTGCCCGGCCGATCGTAGTCAAAATGTCAGTGGTCCTTCGACTTCGTCAGTCGCTCTATTCGCAGCTGGATCGAACACGAAAAATTCACGTCTGTGCAATCGTGCTGCAACCGACAGAATTATTACTTGAATTATGAAATAATCGATTTCGCGCCAATGCGACTGCGTGTCAGCTGATAATATTGCATAATTCGTCTCAGGTTTGAACGTGCATAAATACGGTTGATCATTTGCTGGCGCGAACAGCTTGTGAAAAACCGATGACCTGCGTTATTGGAAGACTTTCATTTTCACGTTATTAGGAAAGAAGTGTTGAGAAATGATTTCAACAAAGTAACAAGAAATGTTCATTTTGCGACGGTATCTACTGCGTGTGTGACTTTAGTGGTCACTGTGGAAAAACATATTATAAGTTTAAATATAATAATAATATTCATAGTCGTTGAATCTGCGAGATCGTATTTTGTAAATTAACTATTCTTGACAGAATGTACCAACCCTTCGTGAAAGTTACTTTTGAAAATAGCCGAAAAATAAACGCGACGTTTATTTTTATTTAATTTAGTACCAAGAAAAATTTTTCTGCTTTTATGAAAAGTGACGCTCTATTAATAATAGTACACGTTATAGACAGACAGAGTGGATCTTTGTGCATTTGTAAAAAATTTTTAAGTATATAAATGCAACAAAATATATAAAATATCCAAACTATGATGCTACCTGTAACATTTGGCGTGTAAAACAAGTTTGTACTACTTTTTTAATGCTACTCTCAAAAATATGAATTTGCATAAAAATCTTCCAGTTGTGGGACAGAAAAATGATAAATTAATAAGTAAGCTGCGGATTTTATACATTTATAGAGAATTGCGAGTTGCAAAAATGCATGTGATATATAAAAAAATACCTATGCATATAAAATATTTAAAATAAAGTATATTACAATATATAATAAATAAGATAAATTTTGTTAGGTTCTCTTTCTCTGCTGATGTTCATAAATATTTGAAACGCATAATATCTCGACAAATCCTCATCAAGTACTAATTATTTAATCATGTTTGCAGAGGGTAAAGTGGAGGTATCGCGTGATGGCAAATATTTGAGCACTCTGGCGCCGGGCAAGGTACTCGGCGAATTGGCAATTCTTTACAATTGCAAGAGGACAGCAACGATAACAGCAGCCACAGATTGTCAACTATGGGCCATCGATCGACAATGTTTCCAAACGATCATGATGAGGACTGGCCTTTCGCGGCAGGCCGAATATACAGACTTCTTAAAGAGGTAAAATCATTTCCATACAATAGTCGTACAAGACTTAAATGAACAAGGGAACGTTTAACAAACGGTGTGAATCTCCTTCTGTTTCAGTGTTCCTATCTTCAAGAATTTGCCCGAGGAGACTTTAATAAAAATTTCAGACGTGCTGGAAGAGGTAAACTTCGATACTCTGATGACTGAAACTGCGGATTTTTATGCATATTGGATTATTAGAGATGATGACAACGTTCGTAATTCAATGTACGATCTTGTGTAAATGATATTAATTAAATTCGATACACGTTGTCTGTTTCAAAACAATTTTGTATTAATTATAATCGAAATTTTTAATTGATTCGTTGTTAATAACTTTGTAATCTATTGTTCGTATTTTCTAATATAAATCTTTAACATGAGGCTGTCTGTCCTTTTAATGTAGTTTTTCAAAAATCTACATTATGTGTTACGAGTGTTTTATTTCGTTAAGTTTTAAGTTTTAAGTTTTAAGTTTCCAAGAAGTTTTAAATTTTGCAAAGAATTTGTTATGATGATCATTCATGGTTCGTTTCGATTTTGTGACACGTGATATAACTTTGACAATTGACGAAACATGAATTCGACAAACTTCAAGCTTTAAATGTCTAATAAATGTTATTTAACAGCACTTTTAATCACGAAATTCCTAATAAAACTGCTTGTGAAGTCCACAATCCAGTATTTTTGAGGATACAATTCAAAAAATAGAATCTCGGTAAAAAATTACTTTACATATCAAATATTCTACCACATCATCTCTATCTCTTACTATAATTACTTAATTTTAAAATTACTTATATATGCATAGAAATTCTCAGTTTGTCAATAATGTTACTTTTGATTGGACAGTTTTATATGTACTGAATATCGTGCACGTATTTTGACAGACGTTTTACAACAATGGAGATTATATAATCAGACAAGGAGCAAGAGGAGACACATTTTTCATAATAAGCAGAGGGCAAGTTCGAGTGACGATAAAGCAGCCCGATACCCCAGAGGAAAAATACATTAGGACATTAAGCAAGGGCGATTTCTTTGGTGAAAAAGCACTTCAGGGGTAATTATTTAAAGTTCTCAGATTATCAAAAATAATTTAAGAGAATGGATAGAAAGAAATTAAAATTGTGTAACCAGAAGCGAAATCGATTGACTTTACTTTCAAAAAATTTCTTAATTAATTTAGCTACTGTGTGATACAAATTGGCATACTATAGACATATTGGATGAAGCATATTAGAAGCTCGTTAGAATGTCATAAGGGCATTATTTTTATCATAATTTTTACAAAGAAAGAAAGAATGATTACGATGAATTACAATAATTCACTCTTGTTGTTCGTACATAAAAATCTCTTAATAATAAAGTATGGTGACGACTAAAGTATAGAACTTACATCAGAGAAATCAAAGTGCAAGAAATAGAAAAAAGTTCCTAATACAATGGAGGACACAAGTTTTTGTGTATATATTTAAAATCATTCAAATCTCAGAAAATGTGACAAATGTATAAAGTTTCTATGAAAATTCATTCGTTCACTGTATTAATTAATTTAGTTATGTTGCTCATCAAATATGAGCATTAACATAGTATGTACACTCAGAAATCTGAAGACAAGTACTATATTTGTTTCAAAATTTAAAAAATAAAACAATATTTTTTATAATAAAGAATTTGTAAAATGTTAATATTATAGAATACACATGCAATTAAAAAACTGTGTTAATTTTATTTTAATTTTATTATAGACAAATACTGAAAATGAAAAACAGAAAAATATCTTAAGATTATTAAGTGAGAAATTCGTATTTTATATATCCTGATGTGGTACCATCCTAAATATTAAAGTACATGAAACGTTTTCACAGAGATGACCTGAGGACGGCCAATATAATCGCTGACGATCCGGAAGGAGTGAGTTGCCTGGTGATAGACCGTGAAACGTTCAATCAACTAATCTCGTCCCTGGACGAAATTCGTACGCGGTACAAAGACGAGCTCGTGGAACGTAGAAGGTGAGTTTCGACCGATTTCAATTTACAGCTCGTAATTCGATTGCACGCGGTCAACTCTCATCAACGCTAATTAATCATAATCATGATCGTGAATCGTCTGTTAAATCCCTATTTTACATGTATGTGTATGTTATGTTTCACGCTTACCACCTAGGATGGGAGAATAGAGCGTACTATTTCAGAGTAAGTTTCGCGTTACGGTACAGTCGTGTGTTAATGATTCAATAATTAAGCTAACGTTTCATTGTTTTCTTTGAAAAGAAAAGTAGTAATAATTTACATTAATTTGCCGATCCTTTGCAAGAGATCCTATACGCGCAAAATAACAAACAAACTAGTTGTTAATAAATCTTATCAGCGCGGTATTAGTATAATTTACAAAGATAGTAGATATCACATAATTGTGGGTCTTAAGAATATTCATCAGTGAGTATATCAGTGTTAGATTGATGTAATATTTCAGACTAGAAAAATTTTCACTCATTCTTTTTTTATTCTTTAGCAATTTCTTTCAAGATAAAAATGGATACACTTGAGAGAAGCTAATATTAAAAATGGCATCATTGAGTTACAGATGACTATATTAACTTACAGTAGATTACTAAAAATTTGTACTTTGTATTTAATTTTAATCTGTATTTTAGATTCTCCGTAATAGATATTAGTCATAGAATTAAATTGAATTGAAAATTCCAAAATTGAATAATTTAATTTGATTTTGATTGACCCACCGTCGAATGATATTAAGAGTTAATAATTCACACACATATAAAACGTACAAGCTCATTATTGAAATAATATTTTCATACAGGCTGAACGAAGAATTCAAAGACCTAAGGCTGCAAGATCTTCGACCATTGGCTACGCTGGGTGTAGGCGGTTTCGGAAGAGTCGAATTAGTCCAAATAGTCGGCGACAGCACGAGATCGTTCGCTTTGAAACAGATGAAAAAAGCGCAGATTGTTGAAACACGACAGCAACAGCATATCATGTCAGAGAAGAGAATTATGGGTGAAGCTGATTGCGATTTCGTCGTGAAGCTATTCAAAACGTTCAAGGATAGAAAGTATCTTTATATGCTAATGGAAGCTTGCCTTGGTGGCGAACTATGGACTGTTCTAAGGGACAAAGGTCATTTCGATGACGGCACGACACGATTTTACACCGCTTGCGTCGTCGAAGCATTCGATTATCTTCACTCTAGAAATATTATATACAGAGATCTCAAACCAGAAAATCTTTTACTTGATAGTCAAGGGTAAGGTTTCGACATAGCTTAAATTTAATATGTAAAATATGAAGAAAATTTTCTAATTTACCAAATGAGATGATTATAATTGTAATTTACCTAATTCACCACTCTAAGTCTACGAGTTAAAATATTTTCGAAACTGTTATTTATATCAAAAAATGTTTCAAAGTGGACTTGTTTTATTTCGAGAGGAAAGTAATTTAACCTTTTGAGAGTTTAATTTATGCTAGAATATTTTATAAATAATCTTAATGAACCAATAATAAAGCAATTGACTTACTTATTAGAGATTCAGATGGGATAACATATTACTATCAAATAAAAGATAAATACATTTTTAATTTGTTATATGCTTTTCATTCAATATTGAGCGTTTACATAATTTTAACTACTCGAAAGGTTAATGTAATTAGTTATTTTAGAGGTGAACACGTGGAAAATATACATATGAAAATCAATTTTATTTTTTTTAAATAGGACCGTATATTTTTTAAGACATTAACTGACCTATTTTTATAAGATTTTTTTATAAAAAAAATATTAAACTATTTATATTACAAAACTATTTTTTAGTTATTTTAATTTTAATTAATTTTCAATTTTATAATTATTTTAATCCTTCTCTTGCAGGATTTTTTGACATGCATACTTCTCCCTTTGACAATACTTTCTCATTTCATATAATCTTTATGCATTCACTTATAAAAATGCTAATTATATCAGATAATTCTCCTCCAAAACCACTTAATTTTTGTTTGAAATATTTTTCAAGTTTCAATAATATTTCAGCTCCTATTCTTAGCTTGAGTAACTCAACTTGTATATATCTAAGTGCTACATATCTAAGTGCTACATTTTTAAACGTTAATAATATTTTTCAGATACGTAAAACTCGTTGACTTTGGTTTTGCCAAGCGTTTGGATCACGGGAGGAAAACATGGACTTTCTGTGGCACACCCGAGTACGTTGCACCGGAAGTTATCTTAAATAAGGGACATGACATCAGTGCTGATTATTGGTCTCTTGGTGTTCTCATGTTTGAACTTCTCACGGGAACACCACCATTCACTGGAGGCGATCCAATGAAAACTTACAACATTATTCTAAAAGGAATCGACGCTATAGAATTCCCTAGATCAATCACACGAAATGCAACTGCGTTAATTAAAAAGCTATGCAGGTAGACTCTATCTTACATACAACAATTTATTAACTATTAGTAGACTGTGGATTTTTATACAAATTTATATCTTTGAAAATATGGTTAAAAAAAAATATAAACTCAGTAGAAAACTGTTTCACGTACTAAATGTTATTAGAAAGCACTATGGATATTTCACATTTTCGTAGAAAATTTGAGGATAGAAAAATGCAGAAAACGCAAGCATTATGCAAAAATAATCGAAAAAGACTTTTCCTTTTAATTATGTTCACGAAAGTAAATTGCATAAAAATCTGCAGTCTAGTAATTAATCATCTAATAGAGTTTGAAAACAATTATTTATGTATTTTAAGGGACAATCCTGCGGAACGTCTTGGTTATCAAAAGGGTGGCATTAGTGAAATACAAAAACACAAGTAAGTGTGCCAAAATTTACATTAATTGTGACGCAACGAATGGGGAGAATTGCTTATTAATTATCTTTTTGTTTAGATGGTTCGATGGTTTTAACTGGGAAGGTTTAAGAGCGAGAACTCTCGAACCTCCAATCATGCCCAGAGTTCAAAATGCCACCGATACAACGAACTTCGATGAGTATCCTCCGGATTCAGATCCACCACCTCCTGACGATTTATCCGGCTGGGATAATGATTTTTAATCAATTTTTAATTTATTTATCGCTTCAATGAAAGAAAAATGTTAAAAAACATCTTGAAGATTTCCAGAATTGCAAGATAATTCGAAAGATCGGAGTGGAGAACTATCAGCATCTACACTTATTCAACGAGCTAATACTATACGATGCTTGGATGTTTGTTAAAATAACATCGATCATCGAATGACATACTGCAAGGAAAGACAAAATTGGCCTGCGATAAGAATTAGGCCGTTGAATAATTTATAGATTTGAACGATTCGTTAATGATAGACAGAGATCTTTTTTTTACCGTATTATCTGAAGTGGTGTATGAATTTCTTTCAAAACGTCGTCAAAAAGATTATTGACGTAAATTAAGCATGCGTTTAATTTAGAAAAATCTTTACGCACACGAGCTCGCGTTCGATAAATATTACAGGACTTGAACGTGGCATCGTGAGACGCGCACGAATGCGTCAAGTGCCATACCTAACGAAGGTAAAATATCGAATATGATACGTGTGTACGGAGCATCCATGCGAGCATGCACTATGTTCGGTCAGTTGAAGTTATAAGAAACATCTTGCCATCGAACTCATGAAACACACACGATTTCTCAGTATAAACCATATCGGATGCTTGTAACGTCCGATTCATTGTTGTTTGATTTACTTTATAGTTTATTGTAATAATTCTATTCTAATTAATTACGCAAAAACGTGACTCCTGTAAATAATTGACTATAAATAAATAAATAAATATATGAAAATATATATACTTAAAAATCAAATGTATATCGATTATAAATAAAGTTTTATTAAAGCTAGCGCATAGTTGATTATTGTTTATACGTACGTTTAGATAAAAAAAATAAATAAAATATTAAAATATCAAAAAGTGCTTTGAACAGATCTTGTATTTCATTCACTTAAATAATATTTCTAAACTTGAATCGGACAAAAAGTCCTTAGAAAGTACTGAAAGTACTAGAAACAGATTTTATATTTTATTCGTTTAAATATATCTAAGCATGAATCGCACAAAATTTCCTGCTTTTATTAACATATTCACGATTGGAAATGTTTAAATTAATTAAGAAAAATAAACTAAGTGTCATGAAATTTGTATTGAAAGAAATTTGAAGAAATTATACTCACATCCGTCATTCGTGCCCACTGACAAACACACATTATCACAAATGAGGTACATGTATTCACAGGCCTCTACTATGGCATTAACCGTTCAAATCGAACGCAACGCCATTGCGCTGTTCAAATTTTGCGTCGAGAAGACGAACTACATTTGAGCGCAATGTGCAACTGTCTTGTACACTTTGTGCAACTTTAGATTCCGAAGTCAGCAAACCCAACTTTACTGATACTTGTTCGTCGAAACGTTACTTTTTTCCATACAAACATGTAAGTAATACATTCAATAAAAACTAAAAATATTTATAAATTAATGGTAATATATAGTAATATATACTAATATACAGCATCGAAACAAAAAACAAAAAAAAAGTCGAAAAAACTGAATTTGAAGATTTATAAAACACACATGTACAAGACAACTTTCAATAAAACATATTCAAAGTCTATTTTCTTGAAAATGAAGCTACATGAAAAAATTTTGTTTAAATTTTTCATCTATTTCTTTTTTTTTTTTTTTGCATGTAGAATAAATTCTTGTTATTCCTTTATTATAAATTATTCCTTTCATGTCAGACGTATATAAAATAAGCGCTGTCGCTTGGCATTTTTCGACACAAAAAACAAGTGCTATAGCCATCGTTTGGTATTTTTCTAATGACCCCTAGGACTCAAACAGTTGATTTTATATACGTATGTAAATAGAAAAAACTATGCAGTAAAAACTGAAATCAGGTCTGCCATAACGTATATTAGAAATAATCATAAAAAGTCCCTAGAATATTCTCAATGCATTTGAAATACTTTATCACAGTTTCGTGTAATGACACCTATTATAATGAGTAAAACAGTAAAATTTTTTCCTTTCTGCTATTTGCTGTATTCTCTATTTCTTGCTATTAGTACTTCAAGTCGATCTACATTAGACACATTAACTAATTGTAACATTAATGATGTTTTAAACTTTTTAAATTGGACAAACTAATGGTATAGGGAATAGATTCATAGTTAAAAACTTGAAATTAAAAATTTTTATTTTTATTATTAAATCTTTAATTTTTAATGATTATATTAACCTAAATATATTACATAAAAAAATATTAATTATTTATTACTGCTAATAATATCTTTAGTATTAATTTATTATTTCTTCATATGTGAAAAAAATTGGATAGATATTTACTAGATAACATTTCTAATCTCCGTTCTCGCAACATGTGGTGTATAGAAAGTAGCGGCAATTGTAGAAAATCTTACGACAAGTGCGCATTGTTTTAAATTCTACATTTTCATGTGTGAATTCGTATTATATATATTATTTACTGAAGGTAAAATTTTTATTTATCTATACATATTTTATGTATTTTTTAATACAATATAAAGAAAAATATCAATATTGTTCATTAAATCAATAACTTTTTATATTTTCATATATCATAATGTTAAATTGAAAATAAATTAATATATTTTAAAATATTAATTAAAATTTTATCTTGAATTTTAAATTAATATAGTATTCATATAAAATGTATACTTATAGTATATACAACGCAAGACTATAGTAACTTTTTTATGTTAAAATTTAACCTATATTTTGGGTTGGGGAAGGGGGGGGGGGGATCGTTCAAAATAATTGAAATAATGTCATATTATTTTAAAAATTAATATTAGTATTTTACAGTTATGGATATGAATAATGTTTGAATGTTAAATAAATTTATTTTTAAAAAATTTTTGCTTACGCTACACGTGTTTTGCTTTCGGTTTGCTTCTTATTTATTTAATTTATAAATGTATACACTTATTTTTCGAATATTCTTACATAATTATATATTTGAATTTTACATAAATTTTCTAAAATATATGGTTTATTTATTCATAATTGTCATAAATATATCAAAATATCATACAATAATACCGTACTATATCGTATTATAAAAGGTTATGTTTAAAAAATTTTCATGGACAATTTGTGTAACCCTTTGTAAAAGTTTCATTTTTTGTTGCACGTTTTATTATTAAATTATTTGACATCTTTTTCTGTTGCAAAACATAATTTTTTTTATGATATTTCCATGTAACATTCAAGATTAAATTATATTACAGTATAAATAAGAAAAATGAATCCGGATAAGGAAAAGCAATTTGGTAAAGGAAGAGGATCTATTTTTTTGAAACTTCTAAAAGAAAAAGAAAAATCTGAAAGTGCAGCTCAATCACGAAGTATAGTAGAGCAAAGTAGCAGCATCGAAGAATCAGAACAACAAAATCAAGTCCTCCAATCTCATGTTCCTACTTTAACTGAAATTCCTACAACAGGACATGGAAGAGCTAGTTTATTAAGCAAAGTAAAAGCAATGCGTTTTGCTGAAGCACAAAGTCCTAAGCCAATACAAGTAGCAAGTCAAGGTAGAGGAGCATTGATTAGCAAACTTAAAGCCATTAGGTATGTATCTCAAACTATAAATAGACGTTTAAATATGTAATCTTACTAAATAATATTACAAGCATATCATAGAAAAATTTGTATAGCTTAGCTGAACAACCAAGCGTTGCCTTACAACCTTGTATTGATGCAGGAGTACTAGGTACATTATCTGAGTATGCAATACAAGAAGGCACAAGTTCTTCTGAATTATCTCGTCCAATAAAACCAAAACTTCGACAAGGAACTAGTGGAAGTCCGTAAGTACTAATAATATTCAAAATATCTCTGCAATTATATTATGATCAAGAAAAAAGTATTTTCTTGTGAAAAAATAAATTGAAAGCAGAGAATAATAATATGAAATTCTGTTTATGGAATACAATTTTAAACACTTATTAAATGTATATGCAACCAGTTTATATCATCAATGCTTTTCTATGTTTTATGATTACAAAGATATCCTTGTATATAATATCATTAGTAAAACAGATTAAAAAATAAAAATGAATTTTTAGGATACAATTAAGTGGCAATTACATAACTCTCAAATTAAGTCCTGGGAAAGGATTGTTTAATTATGAAGTTAAGTTTATTCCGGATATTGATTCAAGGCCACTTCGTAGAAAACTTCTTAATCAGCATTTAGAAACATTTGGTCGAACAAGAGTATTTGATGGAGTAACACTATTCTTACCACAAAAGTTACAGAAAGATGTATGTAATGATGAAGCTTTGAAAAGAAGAATATATAGATTTATACAACGTATAATTTTTAGATAACTACACTTGAATCTATTCACCCTATGGATCAGTCAAAAGTGGAATTAAAAGTAATATATAAAAAACAACAAACTATGTCTGAGAATATTCCATTTTTCAATATTCTACTTGGTCGTGTTTTGCGAGCTCTCAGTTTAGTTCGTATTGGCCAAAATAATTTTAATCCAAAAGGAATACAAGCTGTACCACAACACAAGTTAGAAGTGTGGCCAGGCTATGTAACAGCAATTAGTGAATACGAAGGAGGCTTAAAGTTATGCATAGATACACGACATCGTATTATGCGTACTGAAACGATACGTGATATAATGTAAAGTTTGCAAATAATTTCATTAAAAATTTAATGTTAAAATTTTGATGCTAAAATTATAAAATACAATAACGCAGGGTCAAGTTTGGAGGAAAATCAAATTTTAAAGATAGTATTCTGAAGGAATTAATTGGACTATCTGTTTTTACAAGATATAATAATAAGACTTATCGCGTTGATGACATTGCATGGGATAAAAATCCAACGTATGAATTTGAGAAAGGAACTGAAAAAATTTCTATATTAGATTATTATAAATATCATTGGAACTTAGAGATAAAAGACATGAATCAACCACTTTTAGTTCACTGTGAGAATTTTAAATCATCTACTGGTGAAGTGAGTAACTTTATTTTATGTATAAAGTCCAGACAGTAAAACGTAAATGCTAACTTTTCAATTTCAAATTCCATTACACAAATTTTAAATGCAGACACAAGAAAAAATTATATTATTAGTTCCTGAATTATGTTACTTAGCAAGTTTGAGCGAAAGCGTCCGTACAGATTTTAGAATAATGAAAGATCTCATGACATTGACTCAAATGACTCCAAATGCCCGACGTGATGTAATTAGACATTTTATAACAGAAGTACAAAATAATAATGTGCCACGAGAAATATTAGCTGAGTGGGGTTTACAACTGGAATCTGATGTAACGGAATTTACGGGCAGAATGTTTGAACCTGAATGTATTATCTTTGGTAATAATGCAAGATTTACATCTTCAACTGAACGTGGTGCAGATTGGAGTTCTGCAGTGACTAGGAATACTCCTTTAAGAATTGTAAGTATTTTTATATATTATATATTTAATAACTCAAAACTGAAATATAATTATATTTTTAGCCTAATTTGAATCATTGGTATGTCTTGTATTGCCAAAAAGATACAAGATGTACACAAGAGTTTGTTGGTATGCTCAAGAATGTTTCAAAAGTCATAGGTATGTCTATTAAAGAACCACATTTGGTTTGCTTAAAAGACGATAGAATTGAAACATATGTGCAAGCATTAAGAAAAAACATTCAGCAAACAGTTAACTTAATGGTCATTGTGTTTCCTACAAATAGAACTGATAGATATTCCACAATAAAAAGGTAAAAATCTCTATATATTTTAAGTGTTTATTATACATGGGACATATTGCACATTATAAAAATATTTTCTTAAATATTTAGAATATGTTGTGTAGAAATGCCTGTACCTTCCCAAGTAATTATGTCTAGAACTATTTCTCGTGGTGACAGATTAAAAAGCATAACAGAAAAAATTGCTTTACAAATTAATTGTAAGCTGGGTGGAGCACTTTGGGCACTGAATATACCTATGGTATGATGCAAATATTTCTGATTTTTATTTAAAAGAAAACTAAATATAAATACTTAATTTTAATACATTAGGACAATTGCATGATATGTGGTATAGATGTATATCATGCAGGTGCTGGCCAATCAATGAAAGGAAGTGTTGCAGGCTTTGTAGCAAGCCTAGATAAGGCATTGACTACTTGGCACAACAAAGTTTGTATACAAGGTAAACGCCAAGAAATAGTAGATATGTTGCAAATGTGCTTAATTTCAGCCATAAGAGCCTACTATAAGGTAAATAATTCAATATTCATCATAACCGCCATCATGATTTTTCAGACACTTTGATGATCTGACAAAAAAATGTTTGGAACAAAAGTTGATCAGTTTTCAATCGATGACATGTTGCAATACATAAAAGTTTCACAGAAATTTTTTTCAAATAAAAAGTCAAAATAACCTGTTCTCAAATGACGAATTCAACAACCTAAAATAATTTTCAATATAAAAATGTCTAGTAAATTAAGGGAGCGTTATCAGACTTTAACATTATTGATTTCATGTTTCACAAATCACATTGATGTTTTACAATAATGTTTCTTTTGATTTACTCGACATTTCTACATTCAAGGTATCATTTCAACATTATTTATGGTAACAGATCATTCAATTTATCTTTACATTGGCAATATAAAATAAAAAATATTCATCTTCGAGGCAAATTATCATAAAATATTTCCTTAACCATTAGGTTTAAGATCTAATGTGGCTTAATACTTTTTTACTTAGAATTTAATATTCTTTCAATTTATGACGAAAACAATATATGGTTCAATTAAAAAAAATAAAGATGGAAATTTTGAAACTTCTTCACACAAAAAAATTAGTACGACATATTTTGCCTGCCTTAAAACCATTCAATTTTTTGTATTAAACAATTTTTCATTAGATGCATAATTTAAAAGTTATTTTAGATGTGCAAGTTATGTGAATTATCCTGTATAGTCAACTGAAAACTAATCAACTCTTGTTTAAAATATTGTCAGATCTTTTGTCACCATCGGAAGTGCTTGAAAAAATCGTGGGACAGTCATGAGACACTGTATTAATATTTTGTATAAGTTACATGTAACATATTTATAAATGTTATTATTATATTATTTTGTAGCATAATAAACGTTACCCAGATCGTATTATTATATATCGAGATGGAGTTGGCGATGGACAATTAGAGGTCGTTCTTAAATATGAGATAAAACAACTATTAGTAACATTTAAAACTGTACAAGAAAATTATGAACCAACATTGACCGTAATAATAGTTCAAAAACGCATTAATACCCGAATATTTGAGAGATCTGTAAGTATTTAAATAAAAAACAGCAGATTAAATATGAAAAACTTACAGTTATTAATCACACAAATTTATTTAGGGTATGGGAGTAAAGAATCCTCCTTCAGGAACAATTGTAGATTCCTGCATAACAAAATCAGATATTTATGATTTCTTCTTAGTTTCTCAAAATATACGTCAGGGTACAGTATCGCCAACTCGTTATATCGTTATATATGATAATAAAAATATGAAACCTGAACACATACAACGACTGACATACAAGCTATGTCATTTATACTACAATTGGGCAGGCACTATAAAAATTCCAGCTCCTTGTCAATATGCACACAAACTTGTTTCTCTTGTTGGTCAAAATATACAGCAAGAACCACATCAATCGCTTGCTGATACATTATATTACTTGTAAGTTATTTTTATCTATGACTGATTTACTTTTCTAGGAAATTGTTGATTAAAGCTGTGTATCATACAACTCATAAATCATAGATAATTCTAACATAAAAAAACAGGCATTTATTAGATTAATTCGGTACAAAGAATTAATATATTCATATTCATAACTGACTGAAATATAAGTTTGAAAAGTATTATGATAAAAGATAAAGCTATTTTTTTTAATTTATATTATATCGTTTTATTTAATTTATATCAATTATAAAGACAATATAGTATTAACAAATATATATAATATAGTACTTAACAAATTTTTTAATAATATAGCTCATATATTTTTTTACATTGTTCGGCGAATGAAATAGTAATTTTTCAAATGCCCAAAGTATTTGAATGAGTATAGGTTATATAATTCGATACATATTTTATATCAATGCCGTATACATATATTTTTCAATCATTATGTATAAAATTGAGGCGACATCTTTGTTCAACAAAATAAACAAATATTTATTTTGTTATAAATAAATATATATTTTGTCAATTTATGTAGTTAATTATATAAATGTTATGTATTAATGCCCTTTTGAATATATCGACTATCGTGATACCTTGATTACTGAATCACCAAACACGTGATGTGAATCATGAACAAAAAATTTCAAATTTGAACAAATACGAATTCTGGACTATGTATGTGAATATCCAGTACTTCGCTGCCATATATTTAATTAATCGTTAATCCTTATATTATAATAAAACCACTAAAGAGTACGCGTATAATATTAATATAATTTGTATCCTTCGATTTCATGCAAATTTAACCATGTCATGTTTACTTTTTTTGAGTTGTACAATATTATGCATCATTCCTTATTAGAAATTATATTTTGTTCTTCAACACTATATTAAAAACGATTAGTATAGTCGATTAGTATAAAGGAATTTATTTATGTGCTTATGCATGTGTGTTTACAAACGACCCTGCCGATGAGGATCCAATACCCAGAACGACGCGAGCGAAATGCGTGTATCCATAGTCGTCCACCTTGACTTGAAAGTATGCATACGTGTTCGTGCAAGCGCACGTCTCTATATTACGACGTTCTATGTTGGTGTGAGACAGTAAAGAAAGCAATGGCGTAACAAAAATTGTAATATTTAAAACTTAATAACATAATGTCATACATTTATATACATTTTCTTTAACACTGATTTTATTACGATTGTTTTCTCGTTCGTCGTTCAAGACCATCACCATCATTTCAAGTGTTTTTTTTTTTTAGGACAATCGTGAAACAATCTTTCAATCGATTAAAAATTTACAAATAATCCGAATAAATGATGAAAATAGATTGATATAAATCTCGATATATTTAGATGTAACCCAAATCGTTGAGAACTTACGTTTATGAGAAATGAACGTAGCGCAACTGATTGTGAGACAATTTCCGGAATGATTCACCGCAATGCGGTGTTTAGTCGACACGATAGTTACGCCATTGCGAAGGAGACAACCGCATGTGTACGTAAATACGTACGTACGTATGTGTATTTACGGTCGTGGCGTATCGCGTATCGAGTCGCCGCCGTCGCCGCCATTCGAGCGGTTAGCGCCTGCGTACATCTTGTTTACAACTGCGGAGCTTACCATACACATGACCTTTACAAGATGGACATGAGCGCCTATTTAGCTGTCTAGGCGTGCGACGGAAAAAAAAGAGTTGAAGATACATATGTGTCGTTAGTGAAGGTTGATGTGCACGAAAGAAAACGCGGCGTCGAGTGATCTTTAATTCGGTTATCAAAGAGGACAGTCGGAGCACACGTTCGTGATCGCAAGTGACGCGGTATTTGTCGCTCACACGCGGGCGGAAAGGGGAGAGAGGGATGGTGGGTACGAAAGGAGACCCAAATTTTTCACCTCAAGCAGATGTGATTGTGGTGAACAGATTTCGCGTGTGCCTGATCGAGAGTTCACATTCACGATACGTCGTGCATGTTAATACAATGTTAACCACATCGTGAATTTCATTTGTGTATTTCCGCAAAGTGCTCGATATATATTATATATATTATATATTATATATATAAGGGGTGTGGGAAGAGAAGTGCGTTCTCTCGCATCGACCTGGAATGCTGCCGTGTTTTGATGTGCCTACTATTGCGCATGAAAAAATTCTCCTGCCCTTGACAATAGCCTATTTACCCGAACCAGGCCGCCTTTATACCGCGCTTACCAGTGATAACAGGGGTTCAACCACCCACCTACGTGTGCATCGCCTGTCCCACTCTCTTTTTCTCTACCTCTCTACGTATTTCCTCTAAACGTATAAGCAGCAAACGAACGAGTGGCCACGAGCGTGCGCGCGCGCGCGCGCACACACGCCTCTGCGTGTATTGTGTACACGTGAAAACGCTCGCGTGTGTCTGTTCCTCTCTATCGTCGTGTGTACAACCGTTTCTTTATATGTGCCCTGCCTGCCTCTGTGTACGTATATATGCGCCAACCATTCCTGGTGAACGCAATAAATTGCATTATTCTACGCGATAAACAGGCACGCAATTGCCTGATTTTAGCTTCGGATCAACAATTCCTCCAGCTTTCTGTGTAATTCTCCGATCGAAGATATTCGCAGATGCGAAATATGTAAATGCTGGCGAATGACTTGACTGTTCACTTCCGTGGATTTTGTGCAATCCCCGGCCCTGGGATACCACGAGGAGCCCACGAATCGTGGTAGGTGAAATTAGACGAAACCGCGTGACAGGTGGAATACAAAATCCAAATCGAGAATCGTAATCACGGAAAAAAAATCTCACCAGGTGCACAGCTTTTACGTTTCATCAAGAAATTCTGTTTACAAAGTGTATCGTTGTTTTCTTCTCGAAGGACCAATCGTTCTTTTAATTTTCTAACCTCGGTAAACGTGGCTAGTCGACGATACATGTTCGTCTGAATCGCATCAAAGAGACCAATCCATGCGACGCCCTTAGTACACACTGAGTGCACATGCACTGTGGTGGCGTGTTATTGCTTATTTACCCCTGACACGTGCTTCCACCGTTGGCGTGCCTCGAGTACAACGATATCGACGACAACTTTTCCACGACAAAGGCAGCGGCGACGGACACGTTGCTTTGAAAGAAAAGAACATGAACACGATCGCGCACGGCTTTTCAATGGTGTTGTTTTGAATTTACCTTTACGTCGATGAAAGCAAATAATAGTGCCGATTGAGATATCTACGTATGTGGTGTTCCTGCAGTGAAAAAAAAGACCGTGACGGAACTGCTATTCTGACAACGTGGGTGGGAACGTGCATTCTACCACAATGAACTATTGATATAGCGTGTTCGAGTAGAAGATGTGCGTAATGAATTGATTATCCGTAATCATTTATGTATGTACTATATAAATGGTACAATATAACGCGTCAATAGAGAAGGCGCAAAACTTTTGGCGACAACGGCCTTTTTCGATCGTCGCTGTGACGATGTCTTCGAGCAGAAATTTAGTCTCTCCCTCAGGAGGTCCCGTTGTTCTCTCCGGGCACGTGAAGAAGTTGAAAACTCAGAAGAAGAAATTCTTCGTGCTGCGTGGCGAGGCACCAGGGTATCCCGCGTGTCTCGAATATTATGACAGCAAGAAGAAATTTGAAAACAGGCAGCCACCGAAGCGTAGCATTTTGTTGAACAGCTGCTTTAATATTAATAGACGCATGGACACCAAACACAAACATGTTATCGCATTGTACACGAAAGACGAATGCTTTTGCTTGATTCTGGAGAGCGAGAAAGAACTGGATGAATGGCTGAAAGCCATGCTTTTACTTCAGAGCGGAGATGTAGCTGATGGAGAGCAACCTCGGCCTATATTTGGTAATGCGCTATTACGGTTTGAATTAGAATTAGGCCGCGTATTGAAGAAGACGAAAAACATGATTCATGCGCCGAGGAATTTTCCAGTTTTAAATAAACATTCGTCATTTATGAATATAAATTTTATTAAAGTGTCATATTTTGAACTTTCAGTTTGTTGTTTTTTTCAAATACTTCACTCTCTGCAATTTTATGGTAAAGAATAACGAGATCAAAGATCAAATTAAGATTTGCACTTACTTTTTAACAAACAGAACGTGTTTTTTTCTTTTTACTTTTTATTAAATATACATGATCATAATCAGATAAGTTTATTGTTTGTCAAAACTGCTACAGTTATATTTCACGAGAAACTGTGTAAAATAAAAAATATTTTTCTTTATTTACGAAAACATACTGTAATAATTTATAAACAATTCTTATAAAGTTTGAATATCTTTTCATCTTATGTATAGAATAGACATTAATATTGCACTATATGATGTTATAATATTTGGATTATGAATTAAATATAATAATTGTGCTTTATTTATTTCACAATATTATGTTATATATTATTAATTATAAGGAGGTACAAATATTTTATTTCAGAACATGTATGGCAAGTTACAATGCAGAAAAAGGGATTAGGTGAAAGATACAACATTCATGGCCCTTATAGGCTATGTTTAACTGATCGAACATTAAGTTTGGTGAAAATTGGAGCAAAGGATAATTCAGACCCTAGTTTTCCTAGTTTTCTAGATTTCCCGGTAAGCTATTTTCTATTTTTATAGATGAAATAGTCTGAGAGTATATAACACTAATGCAAAATTTTTGTTTCATAGCTAACTCGTATCAGAAGATGTGGATATATGGAACGTATCTTCTATATGGAAGTGGGTCGTTCAGCTGTTACTGGTGGTGGTGAATTGTGGATGGAAGCAGAAGACAGTAACATAGCAAATAATATGCATGATGCTATTATGAATTCCATGAGCAATTCGGGACCACGCGAAAGAGTTCATAGTTCTTCTGCTGCTGATGCCAGTGTATCTAGACATACTGGATCAAGATTCCATAATTCACCATTAGGTGAGACTTAATTTTAAGTAATTATACTTACCACTTTATACTTTGATAGAATATCAGTTATGGTTTTTAGCAATCTGCTCAAAAACTGACCTCCAAAATATATTTTCAGTTATGTAAATACCTTTATGGTGTGTTTATGATATTTTAATGTTCCGGTTTTTTTTCTTAAACATTTTATACAGAAGCTTCTTTGTACAGAAATCATCCTACGAATTCTTTTTGCTTCTATGTGTAAGTTATCGAAGACATCGATTTTTTTTTTTTTTTTATATCAGACCATAACTGCACTACATTATGCCTCGAAATATCGGCTGAATCACGAAATGTACAATTGAAAACTCAGCTTTAGAATAACACAAATGGGTTGCGGGTATTACAGAGGAACACAGGACGCACGAGGAGCAGGTGGATCCAGTTCAACAACAGGAGCAGTTTAATCAGACTCAGAGTACCTCTTCTTGCAATACAATCACGGGTCTGTTTTCTGTCATTGCAGTTGTATGCTTCTTTTTCTTATAAAATGTGGGTGATAAACGCGATTTTAGTTCAACATACTTAAATTTGTTGTATAGCCTATTCAAAAGTTTTTATTTGAAATCACTGAATTTTAAAAACAAAGTTCGTGTTCATCTAAATAAAATTCAAGAAAAATATATAATTTTTTCTGATTTTTGTTTTATTATTTTACATTAATTTTTTAATTAAAGATTTTGATTACATTTTAATAAAATAAGCGAATAATTACACAAAAACTGTAATAACTTGTTAATCGAGAAACTTATAGACAAAACTAACGAGACTTTATCGATTATTATGTTCAAAAATGAGTTCCTAGTATTGCACAATATGTTTCAACACCATACATACATATGACGTTCACGGAAATACATATTAACGAGGCCGAATAGAATAAAAACAAATATAGATTGCGTTCTTTAAGCAAAATTTCACTCAATTTCTAAAAATTGGTCAACCTTGTTCATTTACTAGATAGAAATCTTTTTGCATTGATGATGTTCTGGTACATTTAAATCATTGTTCCCTCTGATAAAAATCTTTCGATCAAATCATTATTAGCAGGTCGATTAAATTTTTATAAAAAGTATGTGAGAAAAGAAAAGTAATTGTACAACAGTGAGAGCTGTATGGTTTGCAGTCGTTGCTGGTACCGGGGCTGGGATTGCTGGGATTGCCTCGACTAATACCAACTGTGCCACTACCACTAGACGTCGTCATTCGGTAGCGAGTCATCCCCAATCCGTCAATAATTCCCAATCCGTTCATGTTACAACAATTACAACAACTACAACAACAACCACTACTATTACCATCACTACGACCGCTACCGTGACCACCACAACCACAACCGCGACAATTTCCCATCAGAGAACCTTGTCGCTGCCCTTAGCTGCCATTATCAATCAAATACAATCATCCAAAAGATCAGTTTTACGCTGTATGTATTTTTGTTTCGTCATATGATAAATCAGCAAGAGATTCTTTGTTTCTCTTTCAGTGTCTCTGCCTCGCTATTTCCTGTTTTATTTTCTGCCCCTTCTTCTTTTTATACTACATTCCTTTTTATGGGAATTCAAATTCGCAAGCAAACATGTTTGCAAACATTGAAATTACTTCATGTTGCGTCATATATAATTTATCTCTCCACGAGATCATCGTATTGCCGTGGAAATGCAAGCTTCTACTCGCATGTGATTCGTTGCACGATACTTCATAATGAAGTAACACTTCTTTTGTCGTGCCAAAAGATTGATGGAATATATTTCTTACAGCATTCAGTTTCAATAATATCGTATTTTCTGGTTTATTTTTCAGACTGCGGATTTTTATGCATTTTTAGATTTTTGTGAACGCAACTAAAGAAATGGAACCTAACTAGAATTTACTTTATCTACTACATATTATAATAAACATTCTACTTTAGATATTTTATATATTTTCGTATATTACATACATTTTTCCGTCTTTCAACTGAACATTCATAAAAATCCACAGTTCATTTATTGTCAGTCTTCTGCCCTCTATGTGAAATTGATCTCTTGACTATATTTTATATTTTTCATAACATCTTGCGTATTGATATATATATATATATATATTGATATATATGAATATATATATATATATATATATATATATATATATATATATATATATACACATATATATTGTCTAGTTATTCCCATCATTTGAAAATATCTTTTTGGCCACTGTTCATTGCTTGATCTAAAATATATGTTTTAATAAATAACAATCTGTGTACCTGAATTGCGAAAATACATATATAGATCTATGGAATCATTTGATTATGCAAATGAACTAACCGGTGCTATGCTGGGAAGATGGGTGCTTTATGAATTTCGTTTCTTAGACTGAGTATTTTATAATATGTCTGATTAATGTGTTCCTAGGTACAAATGTGCGTGACAGGTGTGACAGTTTGCCATCGGGTCGTACCACCACCGAGAGTCATCCAACGGTACAGAGTTATCCTAGGAGTTCTCCTTTTGTACCTCACGTGTTGAGACCACATTCTGTGTATGTAATGAAAGGAGTATCCTACTCGCCACCGATTACTTCGATGCCTATCAGTCCTGCTTCCGGCGCATGTTCTACAGACTCTGCGGGATCTTCCCTTTCAATGGATGATGGTGGTGAAAATGTATTAGAAGAGGGTATTGTTTCAAGATACGGCCACTCTTTGACACCTGATGAACCTGTTATTTTAGAAGAGAATGGTGATGATTACGCTCCGTGGTCTCACTCGCATCATAAATATTCACCAAATTTCAAATCGCATTCTCCTTCTCAGGTGGGTCGTTGATACGTTTGATAAAATGACTAAAATATGAATTAATGAAGTTTTATTTATTTTATAAGTAATACTTATTTATTTGAATATGTTTTGTGTAATTATACGTAGCTTGTATATTTATCTATAAGTATGATATTTTTATGTATAATAGAATAAATATTTATATTTTTATCATTTATGGCATATATTAATAATTTTATTTTAATAAAGTCTAAACTTCTAAAACGAGTAAAAAAAGTATTTTCTCTAAATAATAATGAAGCTATTTTTCTGGTCTTATCGTCGTTATTATATTTTCTGGTAATTTATAATATAATCTAAAATAAAAAATTAAATACTAATAAATTTACTAACATAATGAATAAATGCGTTTAGGAATTGAAATTTATACTGCATTATTATTGTGAAATATATGTTACATCATCTGATGAAGACGAAAATAATAACGCGTACAATTATGCTTTGTTTATAGCAAAGTTCCTATATAGAAATGTGCAGCCCTTGTGGATCAAGTCCTGGTCGTAGTGGAGCCTACATGCCAATGAATTCAGGAACGGGATATTCGCATTCACGTGGATCTTCCCTTGTAGAGGAATCAAACACCTTACCGGAAGGTTATGTACCTATGGCACCCGTTGGAAATAATGGATATGTCGACATGGATCCTTCACATAATCACAATGGCCATTTCTCTGATGATCTGTCCCACGGTGGCAGTAGCTGTTCCGTTACATCTGGAACACCTAGTACAGATTTACGATTTTCTGAGTATCATTTAGATAAAGTAACGAGTTTTCTCCCACCTGGAGAAGATTTACAAGCTAGACCAGCAAGAGCCTATTCCATTGGATCTCGGCCAGAACCTGTAAACAGGCATCGTAAAAATAGGTATAAAAATATTAATTCTATTAATTATGTAGTACAGGATATTGGAAGAGAATTTTTTTTTATATAAACGTAACCAAAATGCATTAAATAATCATGTGTGTGTTTTGTTTTTGATAGACTGGATATCACTCAACAAGAAACTAGTAGAGTGCGAGCGTTCTCTGTAGGTAGCAGATCTAAAAGACCTGAAATCGGGAGGTTAGCAAATATAGTCACTGCACCGTTACCAGTTGGTTGTGAAAGCACGACCTCGAATAAGTCGAATTCAGCACCGTTATTGTCGAGCTCTTGGGGACACAATTCCGGTTGTTCTTTAACGTCTGAACGGATGGAAGACCTAATGGAATTGGACTTTACGAAACCTAGTATTTCAACAACCTTTAACTCACCTCCTTCATCTTATTCGCAGTCGCAATCTCAATCACATTCGTATTCTACTGCCACCGATATCAGTTCCTACGTTGATATGTCTCCTGGACAACCGCCATCGACGACCACTGCCCCATACGTCGATATGACCCGCATAAATAAGGTATTGTATATAGATTGAAATTAATTTATTTATAAATTTTTATATTGTATATAATAACATGAAATTTTATTACAAAACTAATTTGCTTTTCGCCTAATAATATTTAATTGCACTTTTATATTAATTCTTGGTTGTTCAATTTCCTATTAAATTTTTTTTTTTTTTTGCAGATTAATCGTAATAACAATAATAATACAATCACTGCCAATCAGAATCATAGTCACGTACATGTATCGTCCTCTGCTTCTATACATAAACCTGTAATTACTACTTTGAAGCCAGTGGAAGAAGCAGAAGGACCATACATGAGAATGGATGGTATAATGGAGGATTGGTCACAATCCAATGCAAGCCCTAAACAAATTTCCTCGCCTATGCAAGAGGAATGTGTGCAATCAAATGGACCGCCAGGTAAAAGATTTGCTTGACAATCTTTAAATGAATATGTGTTAATTAATTAACTATTTCATAGCTTTTTAAAAATGTAAAAAAATGATTTTGTTTTTTATATTTAATTATTTTCAACAACGGCGTGTGTAATTCACTCACCGAAATATTTTTTCAAAATATATGTCTTTAATAAATTTAATTATATACATAAATCTAACATGTAGATGTGATTTATGTCTTAGGAGCAACCAGAACAGCACCAGTCGACCTTCCACGGCGCCCACCTGCCGACTATGTTGATATGAGTTTTAAATCGAGAACAAGTTTAGAGCAAGATTACATAAATATGAATATGAGCAGTCGAAACAGTCGTAAACCAATAGCAACACGAACTGGTAGTCGAAAAGAAAAATCTCGTTCGCAACCAATTGCGATCCAAGCGGGAAATAAACCCATAAAAACGCCTAGTTTCTTACCTCTAAACGGAAGTCCGGAATCAGAAAGTTTAGCAAGTACACCCGCGACACCGCCACGAGCAACTCCAACAGGTTCCTCAGCGACTATTTTCCCATTTTCCTTGAACAGTCCACAATCACCAGAGAAATCATTCACTCATCAAAAGAATACTGACGAATCTTCACAACTGAATATTACTTCTAAACGTAGTACGATTGTGGAAACTACGAATAGCAGAGTAAGCACGGTCAATTCTATTTTTGTAACGGAGGCGAATAACACTTTGCCGAAAGTAATTAATGATAGACCGTCTAGTCCTACAAGGAAGGATAGTCAAGTTAGCCGCGTAATATCAAACAACTCGTTGACCTCGCAAGATAATACGTTGAACACTGTAACGAAAAAGTTTTCCGATTTAAACGTATCATCGAAGCCACGTTTGATCACTGCATCTCCAAACACCAGCCCGACGTTATCTGGTTTTAAACCAACCGTCGAAAAACAACCCACGTCTCCCAAAATACCAGATGAAACGCCAACGCCCACACCTACTGCTATGTCAAGTCCATTAGAAAAGGAGAATTTTGATAAGGTGCAACTAGATACGGAAGTTTTGCACTACGCTAGTCTAGATCTTCCTGAGGTTGTTAATGCGGTACCTATTTCGTCAGCGTCACAAGAAGGCTTCAATTATGCTAAAATTGATTTCGCTAAACTTAAGCAAAATTAAACGGCCATTATTCGAAATACACGAATGGCTGCATCAATATTATATGTATATGCATCACGTGTCGTAAAATGATATATCGATTTTCTTCATTGACGAATATCAACGGGACAATCGATCGTTCTAACATTGGTCGAGCTGAATTGATAAATCAGTTTTTAATTGAATTAGGGTGCTGGATATAAAGTATAAGTAGACAAGTTTTGTTTCTTTATTCTTAAATTTTAGATTGAAATCATTTTATTCGTTGTACGTTTCTGGCTATGCCAAAAAGGCAAAGGATACAGTTTGTATACAATTTGTAGTCTTTTTATTGAGCATAACAATTATGGAGAATATTGTTGTAAGTTAATCTCTTTTCGAGCTTAAGAACGTATTTGTACATTATCTTCCATTATTTTATGATTTTTGAAACGTGTAAATTATTTTCTTTGTTTTTCATTTTTTCTTATTCTTTTTTTTTTTTTTTT